TGAAAACCTAGCAGGTAAGAGAAGACAGCTGAAGAAAGTGTAACAGATTCTTTCTTCACTGTGTTGGACACAATGCTATTTAATAAATCCAACAGATCAAGGGAAAACAAAATCAGAAGAGACAACCTTGTTTTGCCAGATGTTAAGATGTCCGAATTAATCAGTCAGTTCACAGGTCTAATAGTTTCACAGTCATCAGCTCTTCATCTTACTGGTGATTCATCTTGTTCAAAATGTTTTCGAGAGTGGGTTTTAATACGGCTCCCTAAAAGCTGTTTTATCATTTGAAGATCGAAAAAGATTGATGGAGTGAGGTTGTCTACTTACGTTCCTGACCTTAATTGTTTTACTTTGTTCATCTTACAGAGCTGGGGATAGAGCAAGATCATCACACAGGCCAACAGTTCCAGCTCTGAGCTAATCTCCCAGCCGATTTAACATAGACTGAGGGCTTTAATGGACAGAGGAAATGGAAGCTACCTCAGAGAGTACAGTTAGGATGCTCCATGGAAACGTAGGGAGCCCTGCTTGAGCCCAGTCTCCTATGTATATGATTTAAGTGACTAAGTGGCTTTTTCATCTCCAGCACTGTTTTGTTGTTGTTGTTTTGGTTTGGTTTTTGAGACAGGATTTTCCTGGCTAACAGTCCTAGCCTGCAGCCTCTGTAGACCAGGCTGACTTTGAACTAACAGAGATCTACCTGCCTCTGCTTCTCCCTCCTGAGTGCTGGGAGTAAAGGCGCGCATCACCACTGCCTGACCCTCTCCAGCACTGTTAACCGGCAATTGTTGGTTACCCATATTTTCCGTGATAATCTTAGTTCATATGCTGACTTGGCTGGAGAAGCTGGATTTCAGCTACCAAGGGGCATCTCCTAACTTTGTTCACGTTGCTTCCTCTGTCTAAATGCTTTTTTTTTTAATTGGAAAGGTTCAGTCTATGCCACCTGTTTGATGGAAACCTTCCTGACTGCACCTTTGTATCTGGCACGTGTGTATCTTAGTCTATAATGTCGCTTAGCGTCACTAATAGTCTTCCTCAGACCGCCAATCCCTTCCCTTCTCATCTTTGGTTATCCGGCACCTCGGACTGTTCTGACACCACCTGTAGTGTTGACGTGGTAAAGACTGAGTAAATAATCCATTACGCCAATGGACTCAGTCTGTGCAATTCACAAGTGCTGAGTCTGTAACTGACAGGCTGCATTTAGTAAGTGCTGCTAGCACAGGAAGTGGGGATGGATCTCTCAAGCTTCGTTTATACCACTAAAACATTTGGTTTGTTTTGTTTTGTTTTAAGACACACACACACACATACACAAACACACACACACACCCAGGTATTTTTCCTGAATGTATTTCTATGCACCATATATATGCCTGGTTCTCGTAGAGGCCAGAAGGGGGCACCAGATCCCCTGCAACTAGACTCTCAGATACTGTGAGCTGCCATACCGGTTGATGGGAATTGAGCCTCGGGCCTCTGGAAGAGCAACCAGTGAGTCATCTCTCCAGCCCCTGTTTGTTTGTCCTTTAAAAATTATTTTAAGTCATGTGTGTATGTGCATATGTGTATGGGGGGGCAGTGTGCATATGGGCTCCACAGTCATGGAGACTACATCCTACCAACTTTAAACAAGTAGTTAATAAAATACTTGCATTTAATACAAATATTCCTCTTATCTACCATTCATCCATTCATTTCATTGCACGATAAAAAAGTGTTAAAAGTAGAAAATTTGGGCACCTAAAGTGTAGGCCCCACTGATAGCTTTCTACAAGATGAAAAAGAAGAAAATGAATAAAGGAATGTCTCTATGTTCTGTGTTTTTATATGTTGCTATTCAGTCTTGTTAACAGCTCTGTTAGGTTAAAGACTAATTTCGTAAATGTACATAATATATGAAATTTACATAAAATATTCAATTGGTAATGTCTTGCTAAAATTTTTGTATTGACAAGGGGTCCATTCAGTGCTAGGTCTAGATTTAGCTCAAATGTGGACCATAGTCAGTCATCGAGGTCAACTATGGCCAAGGGTGTGGTGACATTTTATTTGTATTTTAATAAATAAGGCTTTGCCCGAAGACGAGAGTGCAGAGCTAAAGCCACTAGAGGCCAAGGAGAGGTGGCTCACACCTTCAGTCCCGGGACTCGGGAGGCAGAGGCGGACAGATCTCTGTGAGTTTAAGACTACTTTGCGCTGCACAAGATCCAGAAACAGATCCAGGCAGTGGTTGGCTCACACCTTTAATCCCACTGTTTGGGAGTCACACAGCTTTAAGACCAGATCTAGGGAGGTGGAGACAGGAGCGACATGGTTGGGCAGAGAGAGGAATATAAAGGGGAAGAGACAGGAACGTGATCACTGGAGTGGGGAGTCGGAGGTTTGGTGGAGACACAGTGTGGTCTCTGCAGTCTGGGGATCGACCCTTCGGTCTGAGCATTGGTAGAGGGAAGAGGTCTCTCTAGTGGCTGACTGTTCTGTTTCTCTGATCTTCAGCTTTAATCCCGGTATCTGTCTCTGGGTTTTTATTATTTGTGCTACACAAGGGAGAGGGGCAATGGTAGTCCTATCTCCAAGGCAGTTTATTCTTATCTTAGAGAGTTCAGAAATATGAATTCATATTCACAAGGCCAGACTGTAAGCCAAGGCTTGAAACCTGTGGGGAAGTCGAGGTTAGAAAACCCACGTACACTTAGAATTTGGAATTTGAGACCCTTATGGATAGGACAGATTTGCTCATGAACACAGAAAGATATGTCTAAGTAGTCTTGAAAATTAAAAATTAAGTTTTTAATTGTTATTTGGATAGCATTTGAAATTTATTTGTACAATGACAAAAAATTGGAGAAATTCAAATTGTAATAATGTTCTTCAGAACTCAGTTTCTTTACCCTCTGTCTTCAACAAGATAACTTATATAGGCCTAAAATTATTACTCATGAGCAAATGATTTCAGTGCAGGTAATAAGAGTGATAATGTAGATCATTACATTCTGTAGAAACACTTTATGTGTATTTTAATAAATAAAGATTGCTTGAAGATCAGAGAGTAAAGATCAGAGAATAAGCCCCACTGGTCAGCCTTACAGACCAGGCATAGTAACAAACACCTTCAATCCTAGGAGCTACACTAGTTGCCATAGAAACCAGGTGGGCCATGCCTTTAATCCTAGCCCTAGAAATGATTACAAAACGGGACACAGTCTCATTCTGAGATTCCTGGAGGCAGGATTGCCATTTCGGACTGAGATTAAGGTAAGAGCCAGTGGCTGACGGCTTTGCTTTTCTGGTCTTCAGGTTGAACCCCAATATCTCTGAGATTTTATTGATCATGCTTCAATATTCATTAACAAGAAAGGGCATTCACAATTATTATAGTAAAAGAGGTATTACAAATTGATATATATTGTATGTTTTTCCCCAAAGTGTTTGTTAATAAATCTATATGTATGCGTGTTATCTATGTGTGTGTAAGCACACATATATATGCAATACACATACACAGTTATTCTTGGACATCCTCAGCGATTAGTTCTAAGACCTCCATGCATACCAAAGTCATGGATGCTCAGGTCCCTATACAAAGTGGCCCAGTATTTGCATATAATCAAGATACATCCTGTAGAATATTTTGTTATTGATAGATTGCTTATAAAATACTCACAGAAAACTTTAATATAGGACTGTACTATCCATTCTATTTTAATGTTTTAATTTTTATTATTTTTTTAAATTAAAGTTTCAGTGGGGTTACATATATGCCACGGTGCACGCGTGGAGACCAGTGGGCAATTTTTGCAACTCAGTTCTCTCTTTTAGCCTTGAGGGCCAGGGTTCGAACTTGGGTCGTCTGACTCGCTCAGCAAGCACTCCTACCCACTTAGCCATTTTGCTGACTCATATCATTTTGGATGCCCTTTGTCAATAAACATAATCTATGTCATATTAAACCCTGCATCGTAATCGGGTACCAATAGCAAGTATTCACATTTGGTGGTAGAATTTGAAGCGATTCAGTTTTTATTTTCTAAATTTTATCTACATTCGTAGAGCTTTGTAATTATTTTTTCAGAATAAGGAAAAATATTTTCAACAGCCCATTGAGAGCTAGTGGTAGCAATGAGCACTTTTTTTTTTTTTTTGGTGGTTGAATTGTAAGTAGAAGCTTACAAATGACCCTTACAGACTCTCACTGTGCAACTGAGAAAATCTATGACAAATCGTCTATGTTATTTCTCAGGCAAAATTACCAAAATCTTTCCCCAGAGTGCCTACTTCTGACTTTGGCCTCTCAGAATGGAAAACTATAGACATTTGTGTGACTTGCACACATATAAGAATTCTTCTATGTAAATTTTATGTGAAATTTCTAACGTGAACATTCACTGGATGTCTATAATTTTTTCAGGAAAGATCCAAACATATAGAAGGGCACATTGTTTGTCATGAGATCTATATTCAGAAAAATAATCTGAGCTCTTGACCATCCCTAGACCGCAATAAAGGAAACTCCGTGCTAAACTGTTTTCCGTGAGAGATGGACCAGTCCCGAGAGGCATCCAGTGAACTAGAAGTGGTGGGGAATATTCCCTTGCTCACCATGTAAAGAAAAACACAGTGACACCTTCAACATGGAAGCTTTTCTTGAGGATAAGTCCCTGTTCTTCATACTGAGGAGGACACCACTGAAAAACCAGAACCTTCTGTAGTAGTTGGGGATGGCCACTCAAGTTCAAGGACAAAGAGGCTCACTGTTTCTGACAGTTGAATCTAGTTATGTCAAAAAAAAAACTGTTTAAATTAGATTTGGAGCTGAAGGAGGACAAAGTGGAAAGGGATCAAAAGAAATTAACTTTGTCTTTTACACATGTGTACAGTGACATCCGTAATCATTCAAATACTAAAAAAATTAAATATTAAGATGCAAAAGTGGAGACAAGCCATTAAAGCACTGCAGTGAAATCTTAAACACGATGCACGAGACAATAACTTACGGCATTTGAGACAGTCCCCAGCCCGTCATAATACATCACGCCTAGTTGATAAATCGCTTGATGATCGTTCTCCTGGATTTCTTCAAACTGTGCCAAGGCTTCTTCATACCAGCCCTGAAAGCCCCAGAGAATAGTTCATTTCATTATGTGTTTAAAGTAACCCTGGACTCAAGCATCAAATGGTCATCTATGCCTCAAGATTAATAGATGATGCCGCCATATTGGAAATGGCCCAAACTTTTTGCTTAAGTCATTGGGCCGTGCCATCTCTGATAGGTAGTTACACTGAGGCCTCAGAAGATAGTGAGGTCAAAGAAGGTCCCAACATGCAAAGGTAAGAGAGAAAGGAGGATGTGAACTAATAACTTCCTGAGTCTCAAAGGACCATGAGGGGCTGGGGACAAATCCTTGGGACCTTAAGAAAAATCAAAGCTCTGTTACCGAAAACTATATGATAGAGCACAGAGAATTCTTCTTGCGTCTACCTACCAAGCTATTCCACCATAATTTGAATTAAAGAAATGGTCTCCTCATGATGTGTAAAATATATGAAAAGCTACTTTTCAAGGAATTCAATTATTAATAACATGCAAGTAGTTTATGAATGAGCTTACATATTGTGAATCAAACTATAAAATGTATGTTTTCAGTTTGCAGTGTGAAAATGGGTCTTTCCAAATGACTCCTTCAGAATAACTTTAGTGAAGAAAGACCAGATAGCTCCTAAGTCTTACGTCTGTGTGCCACACATGGTCACAAAACCATAGCCTATGTGGCTATGCCCGAGTTTCTCAGGCTTAACGACGTAAGAAATTCACCTGAAGCTGGGCAGTGGTGGCGCATGCCTTTAATCCCAGCACTTGGGAGGCAAAAGCAGGTGGATCTCTGTGAGTTCGAGGCCAGCCTGGTCTACAAGAGCTAGTTCCAGAACAGGCTTTAAAGCTATGGAGAAACCTTGTTTTGAAAAACAAAACAAAACAAATTCACCTGAAAGTTTGCCATGACCATCAGCTGCCTCTACTTACTGTGTGACGCTGAGGATGGAACCCAAGTTCTTATCTACCCTATATAATTGCTCCATTAAAGCTCAAATAACCCCCAACAATGAAGTACTAACAACACATTTATTAAAAAAAAAAAAAAGACCAAAAATGGTACCTCTTCAAAATAGAGTTGACCTCTTAGAAAATACGCCATAGCATCCCCTCCTTTTATTCTTTCTTTCAGGTACTGCAATGCTGTATTCACCAGATTAGCATGACAGTAATAATCTGAGTCAGAAAGGGAAAAATTGAATTAACCACACAACGTGAATGTTCTCTCTTGAAGCCATATGTAACAGAGAATTCATTAGATGCTGTTAGTATCAGTTTCTTGCCCACTTCTAGTTCCTAAAACTTAGCTCCAAGAAAGAATACGCCCTAAATAAAATCATGATCACGCACCTAGTGTAACACCTTACATAACCAATAAATGCTCATTGAGTCTGGGACTGCTGCTCCTTGCCAGGTAGGCACTTGAATGCAGTCTCTGCATGCATTGGGCAAAGCTGTCTTGTGGGTGAGGTAAACTCTTTGCTTGAGCCATATTTAGTATTTAGAACTACTGATCCAATGAGCTGGCCATCTTGTTTTTTTTTTTTTTTCTTTTTTGGACAGGGTTTCTCTGGCTCTTGTAAACCAGGCTGGCCTTGAACTCATAGAGTTCTGCCTGCTTCTGCTTCCCGAGTGCTGGGATTAAAGGTGTGCGCCACCACTGCCGGCACTCCATTTCAGCTTTTAAGGTTTATATAAATAGCTTTAAATATCCCTTTGCAGTAAAACACCAAGCCACACTCTCTGAGGGAAGCAACACCCAGGTTTTCTTTTTTAGAAGCAGATCCTTTAGTCCTGAGGGTAGATCCTAATCAGGCCTTGTGTCTGCTCCAGGGTCAGCTGCTGTCTGAGTTAAGAAGGTTGCCAGCCTCAGGGAGAGCCTGAACCGAGTAGAGCTTTGACTACCTCCTCGAAACCAAGGATATGTCTTTCCTTTCCTGTTTATTCTAGCAAAAACTTCGGAATTTCAGCAGAAATATTTTCCCAGCAAAGATTAAACATTCAGATTTTTATACCAGGCTTTTCCTTCTTCCACTGGAAGAATTTGTGTTGTTTAGTAGCATACTGAGACAGAGAGAAAGGGTTTTTGGGCAACTTTTCACTGGTGAGTTTCATCCTGTTTCCACCGCGTGGATCCTGTAAACAAGGAGAACACATACGATGATTAAATTTTCTTCTTCCAGAAAAGCACGACGGGAGACTTTACTCTCTATTCTAAAAGCATCTAAGCAACATTGCCTGTCCACGGGACCCCGAGTTAACAGCAATTCCTTTTTGAAGGCGAGTTCACATGTGACCACTGTCATTCACAACTGCTGCCCCTCCGTGGCAGCCAACAACACTGCTCTCAAAGAGATGGTTTCTGTCACTAGGGACTTTCTGGATCTTTCTAACTGAAGCTTACCGGAGTAATCCATTTCATAGGAAAGCCTTTGTCCTTTTTACCTGGGAATACACTGTATTTTAGCTGTGTCGCTCAGTTTTCTCTTCCAGTCTGTATTGGACTGCCATGTTACCAGATGGACCACCGCTGTGTGGTAAATCAGAGCCTTCATATAAAGTGTAGGGGCCACCTCATTTGGAATGGAGGAGTCCAGGTTGGCCTAGGCTGAGGGTAGCGAGGACAGCAAACTCTGTTGTTGCTATGTTTTTTTTCCCCTTTCTTTCTTGCTTGCTCTTTGACATTCTAACGTTTCAAGTTACTTCCACCAATCAGGAGCCAGCTCCCAGGGAAGGTCTCTGATTGGTGGCCTACAGAAGACCCTCAAGAGAACCTTTGTGTGATTGGAAAGCTGTGTTTATATACTTACAGGATGCTGTTTTAGGCAACAAGCTGCTTCTTAAGCGAGAGTGGGACTCAAAAGGAGGAGGAACGATTAAGCAACGACAGCAACAAAGCCACTGAAATGTCTGCATGTGGCAGCAGGGGGTTTCAGGGGGGCGGGGGATGGCTCAGCAGTTAAGAGTGCTAGAGTTTAATTCCCAGCCAACCACGTGGCATTTTTCACAACTGTCTATAACCCTAGTTCCAGGGGGTCAGATGCCCTCTTTTGGTTTATTCAGGCACCCTTGGTACAAATACATTCATGCAAGCAAACCACTCATAGCACATAAAATCAAAAGCAATTTTAAAAAGCAACAACGCGAACAAAGTGCTTCCAGAGGATCTTAACCCACTTTGGGTGGGTCACAGCACTTGTCGCTCCAGCTTCAGGAAGTGACCGCCTGCCCTCTTCTGGCCTCTGCTGTCACCTGCACACGTGTAATATTTACATATAAAAATAAAAATAATCCTTAAAAAAATTAAAGTAATTGTATTTCAAGATTTAGGATTCCAATAAGACTGTAAAATTCCCACATAAACAAAGCAACCTGTGTAAGACATTTGGAAGGAAACGATCCAGACAGAATGAGAGCTCCCTGTCATTCACAAACTGGGCGGCAGGTCTTCATTTCACTGATGACATTAACACAGTATGCTACTATTTCAAAAGGGCTAGAGCAGCGGTTCCCACCCTTCCTAATGCTGTGACCCTTTAATACAGTTCCTCATGTTGTGGGGATGCCCAGCCATAAGATCATTTTCATTGCTACTTCATAACTGTAATTGTGCCACTGTTTTGAATCATAATGTAAATATCTGAAGGGCAGGACATCTGATGTTTGATCCCCACGGGGGTTGCAAACTGCTGGTTTGGAGAAACCTTGGCAAATTCAAGAAAGGGACTAGAAATAAAATAAAGCACTAACCACGCCTTACCGTATTTAAATTTACGCTGTTGTCTTGGCTTATAAGACTGCACATGACTTCTGTTGCTTTAGTGACTTAAAAAGAAGTACTTCAGAGGGCCTGAAAAACAACAGAGAAATGTTTCATTCAGGCCTACTGAATGTTGGGTTTGTTTTGTCTTGTCTTTTTAAAGTGCTGGCTCCTATAAAACGTGAGGAAATGGTGATCATTTTGAACACAGGAGGAAACAGGCAGGGCAGGGAGGTGATTCACTTAGTAGTAAAGCTGCTGGTTGGCAAGGGCGCCCTGCCAGCCCACGAATTACTTTGTTTTATCTCTCAAGAAAAAAAAAAGTAGAGTGATTTTAACGTTTGTGTTAGAAATGTGGGCCTTCTGCTTTAAGAAGCTGGTCATGTTGAGAAACTGGCTCTGCAGTCTGTAGAAATTGGTGCCACCGTTAATCCTACTGATTGAGACTGAGGTCACTACCACAGTGAAAAGCCAAATTTGAAGCCCGCTTTAATTAAGTAGGTGGCCAGATGGATGGCTCCGACCAGGTCCATACCCTGGAAATGGCCAAGGATCAAGTATGGCAAGGGCTTAAGAAGGAGAACCCATAAATCATTGCATTTCCAATAAGGTCCAATCAGGGGCAACACACATTCTGACGTAGTTCCTGCCTACACACCTTTCACCCATGTGTGATCGAGCACATCCTGAGCAGATAGGTCAAACAAACTTGTTTGGGGGGAGTGAGAAGGCATAGCTTCTTATGTTATCTCCCATAAACATTAACCTCCAGCATTTCAGGAACTCTCTGTACTTGGGCAAGGGGCTTGCAGATCAGAGGCATTTTGTTTCATGGATCTCTAAGGCATAGTAATTAAAAATTAAAATGTAATCTTGGCTCTCACAGCTACATCCTCTCAAGTTTGAACCTTGGATGGACATAGAGAACTGACAGCCTACGCCGTGAACACATGCAAAGCAAGCCTTGCTCCCCAAAGATATTCTGAAAGTCAGCCTATCTGCTTGGTTTGGGCATTGTCTTTGAAATCTTGGTTCTTTGCCCCAGACTGTTCATAGCAACTTCCTTAATTTTCAACTCTAATCTAGTTCTCCTGACATTTTCATAATACGTATAATTGCTCTCCCATGCCTAGGCCTGACCACGGTCCCCACAGTCATGAGGCTGTCTCGAACCAAAGCTAATTTCTGAGGGTCAATTTCCACTCTGATTTCCAACAGGCAGAGCTGCTGGAATAGATTAATTCAAATTTAGTGCTTCCAAGATGCGAGACAGGAGCTAAAAAAAGATTTTAAATGTGAGCGTCTGGATTGATTCTGCCTCATTCCGACATTCAGCATAAAGTCACCTGACGCTGTGCAGCTGTGTGCATACCATGTCGTGAACCTAGACCATCCTGGGATAAAAACTGGGGGCACTCGTTGATACCATATCCTCTGAAAAGAACCTGTGGTTTTGAATTTTTTATTACGATCCTTTATGTGTTTGTGTTTATGCACAAGCGCAAAGGTCAGAGAACGAAGCTACAGGGCTCGCTTCTCCCCTTCTACCATGTGGTTCCTGGTGCACAAGCTTGGCTCTAAGAGACTTTGCCTACTGAGCTTCTCCGTAACCAGAGCGTGTGACTCGGTGGGGGAGACTGGGTGAAGCAGGTGAAGTTCCCTTCTCAGATCCTTTTTAGTGCCTCTATGCCTATGACGTCAGCTGCTCCGAGTGCTAACTGACAACAGCTCTCACCACCCCGTTCTATATGTTTGTCCCTAGTCAGTCATGAGTCTGGCAGACAAACCACTTAGGCCATTACCCTATTAAAAGAGGCAATCCAGCCAGGCTGTGGCGGTGCACAGCTTTAATCCCAGCGCTTGGGAGGCAGAGGCAGGTGAATTTCTGAGTTTGAGGCCAGCCTGGTCTACAGAGCAAGTTCTAGGACAGCCAGAGCTTCACAAAACTGAATGCGGGGTTGGGGGTGGATGGGTGGCGGCAATCCATGCTAGGTGCTCCTGTACATTCTCACTGAATGTATGAAGAATGCAAGGGGCTCTGTGTTCTTCCGAGAGCCTTTCTTGGGGTGTGCTTTCAGTTAGTAACGTTAAAGGAAATGGTAATGCACCTCCACAGGAAGAGGGGAGGCTTGCTTTCCTAACAGGCATTGAGTGGCCCAAGGTTAGCATGCCTGACTCATAATGCAGTCTTCTGGGCATACCAAGCCTCTCAGGTGACTGTGTCATTTGAGTAACCTCTGTGACAACTGGGGAACGTGGTGGGCTGCAGAAGTGACCCAAATATCATGCCATCAACCCTAGCTACTGTGTTTACAGTGAGCCATAGGGCCCTCTGTCTGTGACCCCTCAGGCATCTTGTCTTCTGCCAGTGTTAGTGAGACCAGCTAGTAACAACCACGTATCAGCCGAAAGCTTAATCTATCTGCTTGTGAGAGAAAGAGAAAATCAGCCACTGATTTGTGGCCACATTTTCAATATAGCCTTGACAATATTGAAGCAGGCAGTTATTCTCATTTTCTTTCCTTTTCAGAAGAGTTCATTTGTTAAAGTGAAAGGACTCGCTCCCACGTCTTTCCTTTTGGGTGCAGCAAGTTTACATCATTCTCTGTGAGGAGAAGAAGGTAGAAATAAAGATGCCTAGTACATTCTGCTAGGCTAGGGTAACCAGTCACTGAGAGTCAAGGAGGGTTTCCTTTATTTTCCTCCAAATTTACCTCTTATTCTGTGAGCGATGAAACTGATGAAGAAGGATAACATATTCAAACCCTTAACGGCACTGGCAAAAGCAGGATTTGCATGCTTCATCCAACTGTTTCATGCTTTCCTGTTTGCTGGCCAGTGATGGTTGCCAGGTTCTTTTGTGTGCTCAGTATGGGGTGTGCCCAAGGTGTGGCTCTGAAAGAGTCACAACCAAAAGACCCAGACCAAACCTGATAGAAATGTTGAACTGTAGACAGAAAGACAGTGGTGAATTCTCAGAGAGAGAATTGTGTCCCTCAGAGGGGATGGGAGTTCTTTGTATGACGGTAAAGAGATGCTACCACCTGGCTTTACCTTCAGGGCCATTTGAGTGCAGTCAATAGGGTCATATCTGAATAGGGTTCAAGGGGACAGCTCACTATTTGGAGGCAGTACGTTTCCAAACATCGCTTTCCCTCTTGATACTGGCCATGTGAGATGAGGCACCAGTGGCTATTTCTGGTTGGGCTCTAATTGTATGAGGCAGCACAAACCATCAGTCCTTTGAGTCTGTCTGCCCCAGAGGGGAATTTTGCTTTCTATTTTTAGCCCTCTTATTTTGGTACTTTCACATCGGCAATTAAACCAAGAGCCTCATATATTAGCAAGCATCCTACCAGTCAGCTATTATCAGTTCCCTTCCTGGGTGGATTTCATTCAACACCCAGCAGTAAATAGATATGCATATAATTTAGAGGTTATATTATATGTATAGATGCTTGTACAGAAAGCTCATGCCATTGTAGTTATGAGTACAGGGTAGAGAGAGACATGGGCACACTGTACTGAGAAAAGGTACCAAGCCATGTGCCAAAGCAGAGCTAAGAACTATGGGTTAATTTAAGTCTAAAAGTTAGCTAGTAACAAGCCTGAGCTACCAGCGGAGCATTTATAATTAATATTGTGTGTTTATTTGGGGAGCTGCCACAGCACAGGAAAACTCCGCCTACACTTTCCTTTCTACTTTTTCTGTAAAAATTTGAATCTTATTAGCCCCAAGAAAAATGAGGGAAAGGCAGTCATGGGACTGACCGAGAACTATAGGAACTTACACAAGATAGGAAAGCCCACAGATATGTTTAAAAATGCAACCTCATTTCGAAAACGCTTCTTTGTCTCCTGCCTTATCTCTGCCAGGCCCTTCATCACTTGACGCTCAGGACTCTGAGCAATAACTTTTCAGAAAGGCTGCAATGTTGTGCAGTAATGGAGCTGGGATTTGCAACTGACTAGGCATCTCTAAACAAAGGCCAGTCCCCAGCATGCGATGCTATGACTGTGATGCAATTGCTTGTATAATAAAAAGCAACTTTACAAGAATGCTCTACTTTCCAATTCCTTAGCGTAAGAACCACAATTTCATCAAGGACTAAAAGTGGCTAGATATAGGTAATTTCTGTGCATAACGGTGCTGCGGGAAGGCGTATAGCTAACATCATAACTGCATCTTTCTTTCTTTGTTTTTCTTTTTTGCAAAAGACCAAGTTTCTAGGAAATGGCCATTGTCAATTATACCTGCATAAGATAATTTAATGAATAAAATGTCTTATTGCTAGGCCTGCAGGCTCATGCTTATAATCCTAGTATTCAGAATGCAAAGGTAGGAGATCTTGGGAATCTAAATATGGAGAAGCTGCCTTAAAAAAGCAAAAGCAAAACAAAAATCACATTTATTAGATGACTTGTGAAATTATATTAAAAGTTGGAAATTCAACTGCTTACTTAAAAATGTATATTACTATTATTATTATTGGTTTTTCAAGATAGCGTTTCTCTGTGTAACAGCCCTGGATGACCTGGTATTTGCTTTAGAGACCAGGCTGGCCTTGTACTCACAGAGATCTGCCTGCCTCCCTCTGCCTCCTGAGTGCGGGGATTAAAAGCATACACCACCATGACCGTCTTAAAAATGTATACTATCTAAAGTACCTAGAAAACACAGACTACTCAGCACCGACTTTGAGCAGAACTTATCTTTACATCACCCATTGCACCGTTACTAGTTTGGTTTCACTATTATTTGATTAGTAAGATCAACAATATAATTTTCTCCTCTTAGAAATAAAGGTTAGTTTGAGTGGGATGTTAATAGTTCAACATATTTGAGCTTTTAATAAGAAAATGTTTCAAGTTAAGTTAAACAAATTTATTTCAAATATATAAGCATTTTGTTTAAAGTTTTATACAGATAGTATGTATATGTGTGTGCACACTTGTGCACATGTGTTTGGAGGTCAGAGGACAAGTTATTAGAACAGTTCCTCTCCTTCTACCACGTAGATCCCAACATTTGAACTCAGGGTGTCAGGCATGGTAGCAAGCACTTTACCCACTGAGCTGTCTTATTGACTTTTTTTGTTGTTGCTGTTTAGATGAAAGAAATAGGATGTAGTATAAATGCAGTAAATGACCTTTGATATATTAATGGGACTGTCAGTTGGTCAGGTAAACAAAAAAAAGAAGAGATAAATCAAAGAATACATGAGCATACCAGTTACATTTTAACTTACAACACACAAAAATATAGTTACATGCCACTCTTTTTGTGCATGCTGAAACAATTTAAGAAGTGGTGATCTGGGAGAGTTTAGAATTGTCTCTTTCTTCCCTAAAGTCATGAGCTGATGCATATTAGATTGCTTCAAAAGAAGTATAACTTTTGAAATGCCCGTGAAAAAGCCTGGGTAGACAATTATTCCCCCCCACCCATTATTTGCTTATTTACTTAATTTGTGTGTATATGTTCATGAGGATGGTTCCAAGTATGTTTTGTGGAATATTAATTTAAAATGTGTTACACTCATTTATGCTGTGGAACATTTGTGCACAAATGTGTTGCATTTTTTTCTATTGCATTTGTTTAACTCTGTGAAGCTGTGTTACTTTGCCTGCCTAAAACATCTGATGGGTCTAATAAAGAGCTGAATGGCCAATACCTCAGCAGGAGAGAAACAGCAGGGCTGGTGGGCAGAGAATAATTAGGAAAAAATCTAGGGAAGGTTTGAGAAAAGGATGAGAGGAGCAAAGCAGTGGCCAGTCTCCCAGTCAGCCACAGAGTAAGAAGGAAAGAAAGACATATAGAATAAAGAAAAGTAAAAAGCCCAGAGGCAAAATGTAGTTAAGAGAGAAATGGGATAATTTAGTTAGAAAAGCTGGCTAGAAACAAGCCAAGCTAAGGCCGGGCATTCATAAGTTAGAACAAGTCTCTGTGTATTTATTTGGGAGCTGGGTAGTGGGCACTCCCAAGAACAAACAAACAAACAAACAAAACCCAACTATACTATGCAAATGTTCATGAGTGTGGTTTGAACGATAGAGCTCCCATTGGCTCATATATTTGAATACTTGGTCCCCAGTTGGTGGAAATGTTTGGGGAAGATTAGGTGTGGTCTTGCTGGAGAAGTATGTCACTGGGCATGGATTTTAAGGCTTCAGAAGCCCACTCCATGACCAGTGTGTCTCTCTCTTGTGGATAAGTAATGAGCTTGCAGCTGTGGTTCCAGAACTATGCCTGCCTGCGTACTGATGTGTTTCCCACCATGACGGTCATGAATTCTAACCCTCTGAGCCCCCAATTCTAAGCCCCCAATAAACTCCTTTTTCTATAAGTTGCCTTGGTCATGTTGTTGCTTCACAGACTAGAAAAGTAACTAAGAGCACATGTGAATGCCAGAGGTCAGCTTTGGGGGTCTTCTTCAATTCTCTCCGTCTTAAGACAGTTAATCCAATTAGTGTTGTCTATGTACATTTGGGTGTGGTTCCATCTGATGAATCATAAAAAAACCTGATTAGAGGTCACACCATCAAAACAACAATAATAACCATAAAACCCCTCCTCAGTGATTACCAACTGCTAATAGCTCCTCAACAAGGGGCCTGGAAAGAACTCCTCTGCCCCCCCCCCCCAATTTATATTGGAGTTTTGGTTGGCCTGATCTAGTGCACTCAACCACAGCATATGTGAGTCCATGAGTATCATCTCCAGAAGTCAGCATTTCCCAGAATTCCTTCCCACCTTCCTGTTTATATTGTTTTCTAGTATTACTTTGCTGACATTCCCAGAGCCTTGGCAGGGGTGGTAGTGGAGAGTAAATAATCTCTATATGGCTGAACACTCAGCAAACTCCAAGATACCTTGGGTTATTAAATGAAAACGGCAAAGCAAGACATGGGATACCTCTGAGAGACCCAGAAGTCTCCAAAACAACATAGGCTATTGTCTTTGCCATACTCCATGGTAAGATGCTGTTGCTGAAGACACCACACTCCATGGCTGCAGGAAAGAGAGACACCAATCTCAAATCTATGGGAAAACTGCCTTCCTGCTATCTAGCTTTCTTAGTGCCAGAAGGTGCAATGCAGTCTGTTGGGGGAGAAAAGACATCAGTAGTCTTATCTACTGCTGGACTCCACATACTATAATACCAAGCAAGACATGCCTACTGGTGCAATAGTGGTGAAGTGTTATGCGGCAACCAACTGCTTTCCAATTAGTTGTGAAGCCAGTTCTTCAGAAGAGGATATTGTGCTTGGTGCTGTAATCCTGGTCGAAAGAACGTGGACGGGAAGGCATAGACTCTAAGGTAGAACTTGCCACTGTTATTTTTCTAGATGGCTAGGTTCTCAAATAGCCACATATATATTATTTTGAGACAGGGTCTGCAAGTCTCAGGGATTCTTCAATGTTCACCCCTACAGCTTTGGAATTATGGGTACAGGAAGCTGTGCTTGTCTGTTTGTTTTGCTTTTAATATGGGAGGTATAGATTGAATTCAGGTCTTTCCCATGCCAACAGCACTTTCCCAATTCAGGTATTCTTCCCCCCTTTTCATTTTTTTTGCGGTTGATTTATTCTCACCTATTATGAAAAAATTTGAAGTCGCTCTATGTTCTTTAATATCAAATATTAGCCTATTACTTTATGTAAAAATAAGGAAGCATATTCATCTTGCTAGTATGCAAATTGCATTATAACCTTATAAACTGTAGAATTATACATATATGAAAGAATTGTGCCAAAACAAATTTCAGATTTATTATCAGAAAAAGATTTATTTGTACCTGTTTTATACAACTGGAGTCAAACATAATTTTCTCTGGCAAGGAGGGGATGTGAGTGGAAACAATTTTAATAAGCTCTGTTCTAGGGAAGAGCCTGAAACCATGAAATGATCTCCACAATGGTGCGTCTTATTGAAGAAATATTATTCGTTAATGAAACTAAATGGCTGAAAGCTTTGTGACTGGTTGGGAGATCTGTGACTAATTGTGATAAACTTGTTCTTTAGTAGCGTCATACTGCTTCGGATATCTTCTGCTACAGCTATTGAGAAAGAATACTATTAAAACAGCTATTAAAACTTCCTTAAAACACAGGAAGAAAGGCAACACAAATGTTTTAAACTGCTCCGTCTTATTTCAAACGTCTCTTACCTGTATGTTTCCCCTGTTGTTAACATTACGTTTACCACGATCAGAAAGTCAACATTTGTACGTCACCAGGATTTCAAGCATTATAGTTATTTCATTGTCGTGAATTTTCCAGTAAGGCCATTTTTCTCTTCTAGAATTTCAACCTAAATTATTGTTTCCTTTGGTCTATTTGTCAGCCCTTCCTGGTTTATCATGATCCCGACAGCTTTGAGTAATATTGGACAAGCATCCTTTTGATTCGGCTTATCTAATGTTTTAATCTGAATTCTGGGTTTTAGTGGATGGCGACCTCCTCAAGTCGTATCACTAATGTTAACCTCCGGCCCTAAGTAGATTTGGCTCTTTCTTCACTACGTTCTTTTCTTCTTCCCTTCCCGTGTTCTTAATAACCAGAGGGCCTTAACAAGACCCCACCCTTCCTGCTGCCCCAGCCTTGGCCAAACCTGTAGCACTAGCTGTTTCCAGGACCTGGGGTGTTTCAGGCCCTCTATGAGGGATACGTGACAATGGGTGGCTTATTTCACAGGAACTGCCACCCAGGTCTCAGAGACCTGGCAGCACGGGCTGATACTTCACTTAGGCGAGTCCACAGCGCCCAGGTTGCAGAGCCCCCTTCCTCTCTCAGGAGCATGGTGATGCAGGCAGAACTGAAGGCCTAGGATCTGGCCTCGGGGATGGAGAGGGGCTGCTCGCTCCCCTCCTTTCCGGGCTACGTGCGAGCCCGCAGACACAAAGCCCTGCCCGAGCGACTTCCGCTTCTCCCGGGGATAAAAGAGCTTCCCTCCACTCGGCCTACGTGCCAACTTCAGCACGCATCATGGCCGCCATCAAAGAGAAGCTTAGACTTTCCCCCACCCGCCCATCCTCTTCACTGCACTCGCGTGCCAGGGCTGCCCGGGTTCCGCTCCCAAGGGGGCGGACCCAGGGAAGCCTCGAACTGGCCAATCAGAGGGCGGGACTGCACAGCAGGCCACCGCCCCCCCCCCCTGCCGGGTTCCGGGCTGCACGTGTCTGGTGTCTGTGTTTGGGTACGTGGGCTGGGAAAATAAACCGTGGGGCGCTCCCGGGCTAGGGAACGGCGGGGAGGAGTCGCCCTGCTAGTCCTGGAGAGCTTTAAAATCTCCCACACTGGGGCAGTCCGCGCAGTCTTACCTGCCAGTGTGCAGCTAGTGCACTCACTCTGCGCTCCCGGGAACTCTTGTCTTCTGCGATGCTGTTGCTTAATTGCAACCTGGAGGTGAGACTCCCGCCCCTTTAAGTCCTGCAGGCTAAATCTTCGGAGAGGTCCGTTTTAAGGCGCTCAAGCAAGGGTGACAATGACCGACCGATGGGTTACCAAATCAACCCTTGTTAGGTTTTTCGTATTTTCGTAGCTGGGGGTGGATTTTCAGCTCAGAGAGGGCTCAGGCAGGACAGGACAGTGACAATCTGTTCTTTTCTTGCAGGATGATGGCCTCAAGAATTTGCTGGGGACAGGAGCGTCGGTCAACGCACCCCCGGATCCCCAGGAGCAGTCGCCTGCTCACCTAGCTGCAGGTGGCGGCCTTGCTTGCTTTCTTCTCTGGCAGTTGCAAGCAGGCGCTGACCTCAACCAACAGGTAACTAGGTAACCTATTGTTGCTATGTACAACCCTCTCCTCCACCCAGTGTCTTCACATAGCCGCCAGTTTCAGTTGGTATAAACATGCATATAAAAATTTCCAGGGGCTGGAGAGATAGCTCAGTGGTTAAGAGCATTGCCTGCTTTTCCAAAGGCCCTGAGTTCAATTCCCAGTAACCACATGGTGGCTCACAACCATCTGTAATGAGGCCTGGTGCCCTCTTCAGGCATACACACAGACAGAATATTGTATACATAATAAATATTAAAAAAAAAAAAGAATTAGCCGGGCGGTGGTGGCGCACACCTTTAATCCCAGCACTCGGGAGGCAGAGGCAGGCGGATCACTGCGAGTTCGAGGCCAGCCTGGTCTACAAGAGCTAGTTGGGACAGGAACCAAAAAGCTACGGAGAAACCCTGTCTCGAAAAATTCAAAAAAAAAAAAAAAAGGAATTTCCAGTACGTGTGTGTGCATACATACATACATACACATATACATGTAGGCATATATATATATATATATATATATATATATATATATGATGGTAACTTGAAACATTTTTAGTATCCACATTAATAAAGCAAAAATAAGCCATGAGATTAATTTTAATAATTTAATCAAATTGTTTCAGTATGTAAATACATCAGTAATGATTGATGTGCTATTTTATTTTTGCTTTCATACTGTATTTCACAATCCAGTATGTATTTTCCCTTACAGCATAGCTCAATTCCGTCTAGCCACATTCCAAATGTTCTTTAGCACTAGGTGCCTGCTGGCTATCACCACAGGATACACCTACAGTGGTTTTAAAAGCACTTGCTATCTGTCCAAGTCTCAGTCGACCAGGAAAAAACACGTGGGAGACATGCCCAGCATCAGTTCTTCGGTGGTTTTCATCTTCGTTAAAGTGCGATGTTTTTCACTGTAAACTTTCATCTTCTGATTTACGGGCATTCCTTTAAATTTTAATGTATGTGAAAGTGGCTGCATGTTTTTTAAATGGAAACTTTGAATTAGTACAATGAGAGAACCTTATCAGAAATACAAATGAATAAAAGAATTTCCAGTTGGTACAGGGCAGTTTTCCCTGGCTTCCTCGGATAGCTACTATTAGATCGCCCACTGGCTTCCACAGTGTTGGAGACACTAACGTGCTGTCTTGCTCTAAAGGATGTTCTGGGGGAGACTCCACTGCACAAGGCAGCCAAAGTCGGAAGCCTGGAACGCCTTAGCCTCCTTGTGGCCAGTGATGCCCAGATTGAGTGAGTATAAAAACAGGGGCTGCAGGCTTGGTTTTCTTGGATTCAACTCATGCTCCTCAAGCTGGTATTTTTATATTTTCCGTCATGTTATCTAATATTATCGAGTAAGTGGAAATAGATCCTGAACATTCAGGGGCGCAAGTCCTCCTCATGACAGATTCCACTGCAGTTTTAGCTTAGGAAGATTCTGCCTATAGAAGTTCTCGTATTCAACATAGAGAATTGAACAACAAATGCTCTTGTAGTCATTTAAATTTCTTCAAGAGTGAAGTATGATAATGGAATAAAAATGCAGTGGAATGCCTACGGTCTGTAGAATGTCCCAGTCACTAAGCATACAACAGTGGACAAAACTAAACTTCTGTGAGCTTTAACTCCCACTCGTGTGCGTGCGCGTGCGCATGTGCGCGCGCTCGCGCCCCCATGTATGCTCGTACTGTGCTCCGCTCACAGCTCCTCAACCAGTACCTTTTTTTATTCTGTACCCAGTATTGCCTATGTGCTACAATTTCCACTGTTAGAAAAATAATAATAATTTTCACGTTTGTCCAATTTCAGCTTATGTAATAAGAACGGGCAAACAGCTGAAGATCTTGCTCGGTCGTGTGGATTTTCAGAATGTGCCAGGTTTCTAACCACGATTAAATGGATGCAGTTGGCGAAGTCATCGTGTGACCCCTGTGATCCGGTGCTTAGACAGAAGCGAAGTGTGACAGGTGTTGAGAACAGAGCTCTGAAGAGGAAGTGCTGGTAAGGACCTTCCAGCGGCTCTTTTCTTTCTCCTTTCCGGATTCTCTTCTGGCGGAGTTTACTGTTGCTCTTAATATCAGCAGCACTCTGGTCGAAAGGTCCAGTAGACTTTTCTTAAAGTTTTACCTTGGATCATAGTTACTACTTGCTAGCTTCTAGAGACCAAAATTTGTCCTTTGTGGTAGAGATTTGGGGAAAGTGTTTTTTTTCAAAGATTATGTGCGTGCGTGTGTATGAATATGCACTTGTGTGCCTGTGTGTGTTCAAAGGTACTTGAGGAGGGCATACAGGCCAGGCAGGAATTTGCAGTATGTCTGCCTTGTTGCTTGGGTGCAGGATCCAAACTCCAGTCCCCGTGATTACGCAGCAAGCACTCTTAGCACTGAGCCTTGTCTCCAGTCCCCTTAAAAATGTTCTTAATGTCAACATGTTTTTTTCTTTTCCCCCAAAACAGATACGTTGTTGGGCAAGAGGCCCGAGGAAGGCCTTCACTTCAGACAGATCTACAAGCCATGGCTGTGGCTTATCATATAGACAAACTCCTGAGGAGGAAAGCTTTCTTCTAAGTGAAGAGACATTCATGAATACATGTATTTACCTGACTATATTTTGGCTGTGCATGTTTTGTTGTTTAACTTATTAAAAGACTATTAAAGGAATAGAAATGTCTGTGAATTCTTTACTATTTTGAAAAAAATAGTTTAAATTAAATCACAGCCAAGATTTAATTTAAAATTATGCTTGCTTTTATTAACATACAACAGCTCTTTCATATCTATAATCTTGACTCCAAGATAATTAAGTAGCATTTAAACAACATTTGGTCGTTGAGGAAGGCATAAGTTATAGTATGCATCCTTGTTCCAGAAGTCTGGGCTCTTCCATCCACACCAGCCCTAGATTTGGACGAAAGGAAAGAAAACCTTTTATAGCCCAAGAGTCTACGATGGAATCTGCAGGAAACTCTACCATGAAGCTCTGTCAGCAGGACCCTAGCATGAGACTCAGACACAGGCCTAATTCAAGGACTTTCTAAGTGGAGCAAAGTAACTTTTGTCAACTTGATACAAGCTACCATCACCTGGGAAGAGGAACTTCAATTGGAAAAATGCCTCTTTCTCAAATTTGCCAGTGGGAAATTGTCTTTACTGATGACTGACGTGGGAGGGCCTAGTACTCTGTGGGCAGGGCCAGACCTGGGCAGGGCGTCCTGGCTCACATAAAAATCAAGCTGAGCAAGCCAGTAAGTGGTGTTCCTCTGCAGTCTTCAGTTCTTGTCCCGACTTCTGCACTGTAGGATGAAGTAAACCCTTTCCTCTACAAGCTGCTTTGTTTATAGTGCTTATCACAGCAATAGAAAGTAAACCAGACATCCTTTCTACACAGATTTTTAAAAAGAACAAAGCAAAAAAATCTATAATACTTTAGAAGTCATAAAAAAAAAATCACTTCCTTATAGCAATTGTTAGTCCAGACATTATACTCCATTAGTTCTAAGATAAAGGCAATCAGTAGCTGCACCGGCTTTACTGGCAAACTTATGTAGTAGTCCATACAAGACTACATATGTGATGTACATATGTGCCATCCAGTGACACAGATACAACGAAATGGAGAGACCCAAGCCAGTCCCATGAGTTCTGTTTTTCATCTTCATAGACTGTTTGCTTCTAGTCTTCAAGTTTAATCCTTTTCTCTAGCAAAGAGTATTTTTGTGGTTTATTATAAATATGAAAGTTTTATCATATTTCTTCTAGGGTCACTCATTTTTCTACTTTCTCTTTGAGACAAGAGTCTTAAACTGTAGCCCAAGATGGCTTGGAACTTACTCAGTTTAGCCTGACCTTGGGCCAGCAGTACACCTCCTACCCCCATGCTGGGATTTCAGGTGTGTGCCACATGGCCAGACTGATTTTATTAAAGGAAGCTGATGAATGCCTGTATCACATCGAGGTCAATGCGGAATGCTTACGCTGAGACGCTGAGAGCCGAGTCACTCCCCAAGCTCCGAGGCTGCTGGTGCTGGGCATGGACTTGGAGTCCCTAGACTAGAGTGTATTAGCTCTTTTTCAGTATGGAGAGGGGGAACTCACTGAACAGGCTCTTTTCTTTGTTAATTGTAAAAATTTAAGCAAGGTCAAAGTAGAAAATTAAAACACTGTACACTCTCTGCTTTTGGGCATTTGAGTATTCTCACACAGACAGACCTGGTAACCAAAAAGACATGTCTACGTACTTCCAGACACCCAGCCTGGGAAGGCATACAGGGGAGCTCGGAGGAGGTGGGATGGCTAATTTTGGTGTCAACTTGACACACCTGGGAAGAGGGACCATGTGCAGAGGAACTGCCTGTCAGTTGGCCTGTGGGCACGAGTGGGCATTTCTTGATTGCTAGTTGGAAGAGGAGGGCCTAGCCTCCTGTGGGTAGTTCCAGGCATTAGGTAAGTGGCCCCGAGGAGTGTAAGATAGCAAGGCGAGCAAGCCATGGAAAGGAAGCCAGCAGACAGGTCCTCCTCAGTCTGTTTTAGATTTTGCCTCTGCTGCCTGCAGCCCTCGATGACAGCTTGTGATCAGGAAGTGTAAGCCAGACAAACTCTTTCCTCCCAAGGTGCTTTTGTTTTTATACTCAACAGAAACCGAACTCGGCCAGGACGGTGAACTTTACTGCTCCATCGTCTGCTGGAGTCCAGGAAGTCAGAGTTCACTGGTGCTGTGCCCTGGCTTCTGTGTGTCGTATGCATCAGAGGGTTAAAGGGCTTTCTGCTGTTAAGTCATTCTACAAAAATGTAACTGGCACAGTTCTCACAGAAAGTAATCAGGGATGACGACTCCCTTTATCCAATGGCTTCAGGATAAATCATTCCATCAGAGACAAAGCCCATTAATCAGCCAGAAAGAAGCACATTTATCACCCGTAACACGCCCCTGATTAAAACAATGACGGTTTCTACCTGCTCTTAAGATAAAATCTAAACCCTTTTCTGTCTGCCCCACCACTGCCCCTCCTTACTGGGCTAAAGCACAGGAAGCTCATTCAGTTTGGGGGAACAGTCTATGCTTCCCTTCCTTCCATCTAAGGAGTCCTTCTAAACCTAGATCTGCATACTTCTTGTCTGAGAATCCTTCTGGACAGCCCTCTGTCCTTCTCCAGGAGACTGAGGGATCCTTAGACATGCTTAGGACTACGGCTGACACTGACTGGGTATCAGAAATGCCAGAAGAATCAATATTTTGCTACTGAATAGGACAATGTTGCTATTATCTAAAAACAAACAAACTTATTTATTTTGTGTTTGTGGAGGTCAGAGAGCAATTTGCAGGAGTTGGTTCTTGTCTACCATGTGGGATCTAGGGAACAAACTCATGTTGTCAGGTGGGCAGGAAGCGTTTTTGTTGTTGTTGTTGTTGTTATTTATCTGCAGAATCATCTCCCCAGCCTTTCATATGAGAATTACTGCCTGTAAATCAATTTAGATTTATGCCCCATGTAGTCAATATTATGTCAACAAATACTTCTACATTTGCCTCAACTTCCAATCTTTATAGACTGATCTATAAGTACATAGTGAGAAGTAATCACATCTCCATAATGACCGGCATTTTCTTAGCTATTGATTCACTGATTGTAAAATTATTACGGGTATGTGTGTATCTGTACTCAGGGTGTTGATACCCTGCAGCTGGAGTTACATGTGGTGGTAAGCCACATAAAGTGTGTGCTGGAAACTGAACTCGCTCCTCTGTAAGAAGGGCAAGCGCCCCTAACCGCTCTGCCTTCTCCCCAGTCCTGATTTTAAGTTTATTCTGCTCTTGTTTTAAGACACTGGTGAGACAGTACAACTATACGTGCTACAAATCTGCAAGGGAAATAGGTCATGTTCTATTATGAAGTTTAGTAAACAGCAAAGCTTTTATGAATGTTGTGCCTTTTGTGACTCCTGTTGTCTTTCCTACACAGAATACAGTTACACAACAGACTTACAAACACTGCTGTGAGGGCAGCTGCCCTAGGCTTCTCTTTGCTAATGGCCAGGGTCTTATATTTACATGATACAGGCATTTACCTTTTCCAAGATAATTTGCAGATCTTCAGCACCTGTATAATGTGGGTCTAGAATTAGAAACTTTATCTGCCCTGTAGTTTCATTCCATGCGACTCCTAGTATTGTGTGAGCCAATACTCCTCCTCCTAGGGAAAAAAAAAGAAAAAAAAATATATAATAGAGCACACATTAATTTCAACTGCTTATTCAGTTCAAATTTAAAACTAATTGTTTTGCCTATTAATTAACTTAAGTAATACAGCATTTGAACAGTCTTCCCAATATTGTAAAATACCATGATGGCAAATATACTTGAAAGGACAAGATTACATATTTAATAGCTACTGTGTTACATTTGGAAATATGTAAGAAATACTTTGATCATATCTATAATCATACAAAGTTTATATTCTACTGCTATATTAATAAAATTCCCTAAGATCAACTGAGAAAGGGCCACCAAGGGGCCAGCTCCTGCCAGTGAAGTAATGATCACTGAGGTGCCTCTCCCGGCAGATGCTCTTGCGTCTGCTGAGCATCTCCAGCCCATCCACCCATTAAGCTCTTGTGCTACTCTTCTGACATCGCCTACCTTACACGTTCATCTTCTGTTTCAGAGAGTCATGTCTCTTTAGCTCATTTAGTCAAATCTTATTTTACAAGGAAACCCAGTGAAGGTAAGCAGTCTGTTGTGACACAGAATCAGCCAAGCTAGTGACAGAATCATGACTCAGGACGCTTGGCCAAGTGGCTTAACCTTTTTAACAATACTACTCTTGGCTCTTTAAATGTTCAAACAGTTATCATTTTCTTTTTAGCACTTATTCTTCGTTACTAAATCTTTTCTGCAACTTCTCTATGCTTTGGAAATTAAAATGCTAAGAGTAGTGTGTCTAAGTTGACTCTAAAATGTTTATGCATTTGTTCTATGTAGGCAGCTGTTTTGTTTGCATCTATGTCTGCACACCATGGGAAGCACTGAAGAGACATGGGGTCCCTGGAACTGGAGCCACTGGTGATTGTGAGCCACTGCATGGGAACTGAACTCAGTTAAAAGCACTGGAAAAGCCACCAGAGCTTTCAACCCGTAAGCCATCGCTCCAGACCCAATTTAAAATGACTAGTATTTATGTAACACTAAAACATTACACAAATAAGATTTACTTATTCTCCACTCTGCCAAAAGAACCCAACACGTCCAAAACAACTTACCAATCATTACTGGAGTGCCCACATTCTGGAAATGGTTGGCCAGTTCTCGTCCTTGAGAGGCCATTTCTGATCCTTGACTAAATAGAAAGAAATCGTCTATCAGATAACTATTTTCAGCATTCAGTCAAGTAATTAGTAAGAAAGGCAATGCTTTCAATATTTTTGTCTGTGAATCTGAAAAAAAAATCAAGTGGCAGGGACCTGATTCAGATGCAACTTAGAGACTGTTCCTAAATGTCCTAAAATGTTCAGGATACTAACTAGGGAAGAAACAGAAAGACTCCATCTTTCTGCTTCTGGAGCTGCATAAAGGCTTTGGATTTTCAGCATGAGACTGGAGCTGGCCAGCTTGTCATTCACAGTCTATATATCCTTTCTGTCTTTAAACTAGGACC